CTTTAGCATTCAACATGGCCTTTAGAGGCTTCAACAAGAGGTAATAAGGACTCAGGGGGCAAGTCTTCGAATGAAGAAATTAACTCACTTGAAAGTTATACTTTTAAAAATAAAATCAGTAGTGTATATGTTGAGGGAAAAAAAAGTATATTCACTTTAAAACCAGTGTATCCATCTGTATGGCTCCCAGATACCTAATGCGCCACAGTTTCTTGAGAGAATTGCTATCTATAAAACTGCTAAGGCAGTTATTGATACTCCAAATGTTCCCTTGATTCAAGTAGCCAAAATACACACATGTAACACATAACTGGAGACTGTCACCATCCTCCAGTGATATTTTAAAGCCAATGATAATAGAGAGAAGGAGGGGGGAATTCCCAAGGAAGTAATCTAAGTGATAGTTTCACACTACAAATATCAGGTAATTATATCAAATTAAGACTCATTTCTATCTTGAAAATGTAATTGTATAAATTTATACAGGTAATTGTATAAATTTAAATTTAGACTCACTCCTATCTTGAAAATATCATGTCAAAAAATAAAAGACAAAACAAAGGGAATCGTTGATTCATTCAAAAAAACAGAAATGGTTCAAAAAGATCAAGTTAATATCCTGATGAGGACGTAGAGAAAGACAGTATCTCACAACATACGGAAAACTGGAGAACTTTCTGTGAGACCACATTGTACACCTTCGTGAATTTGTATCAGATCTAAAAACAAACCAAGCATTTCTTTTTAGACTCCAAATAATTTGAAAATGCAGCAAAAAGAAGGATTATCTCCCCAGATTGGCTATTAAAATATTGTTTTAAGTACAGTACTAATAATATATAGAGGTTACAATTTTAGGTATTAAATATATTGGGATAAAGTAAAAATACTATATGGGAAATTTAACCTAAAATACATTTATAGGTAATAATTGTTTTACCTATATATAAATAATGTAAACAGAAGCTGTCACAATGACTCATTATCTACTCTAATTTGTATCCGCTGTGGGCTTCTTGTCAGTTGCACATTGCCATGCTTTTATTCCTGACTTTGAATGGTTAGGAAAGTAAAATGTAACTTTGTAAACATTATCAGCACTGACATAAAGCATGTCACATAGGGTAAAATATAGCAAGGTTTTATTTAAGTAAAATCAAATTTCTGGACTCATCTACATTCGAACCCCAAATCTCTCTATATTTCTTTCCAGACTTAAAAAAAAAAAAGCTACAATTAAATTCCCATTCTTTGTTTATCTATCATTCAGAACTGACACATAAAATATGTCAACAGTGACACTTTCTCCTTATATATCACATATAATAAATATTATGAGAAAGTTACTTACATAGAGAGATTTCAGTTAACTCACTACTTTATTACTTGAATATGTATCCTACAAATCCTCCATGCTTATTTCTAAAAGAAAAAGTAATGGGGATACTTTGATCTTTCTCACCGGGACAGATGCAGATTTTGTAGGGTCAGAAGTATATATAATTTTGCTAACCTTCTTTCGGAAAATTAATACAAAATTCCTAATGCAAAATTAAGTACTGGACCAGGGAAGGGGCATGTGTAAGTGAGGGGCACTGAAGCTTACATTTCATTAGTTTCTCGGGATAGCCACCTGTGTACAGCAGACCGTTTTTTAATACTTCTCTGTCTATATTGCATTATAAACTAGACAAAAATATTGCTACCTCTAATCATATACTACCTTTCATTTCCAGCTACTCTGGCCTTCAGTTTTCTGTCTTTTCATAATCTATGCTTCAATTATAAGAAATCAAATATTGGTCAGAGATGCTCCCTTTATCAGTCTGTATTACATTCATCTCAAACAGAGATAAATGAATGAGTTTCCTGAAGACTGATTACAGTTCAACATAGAATTCCATTGAGTTATATAATTGTACTCTTGTTAACCATCTGTTCATATATCAAATAGCAATTGGGAAAACAACCGTATCAGACACAAAGGACAATCTGGAAATTTGTTTCAATGTACTTATTTTAGTGTTAGAGAAACTACCATAAATTGCTAATGGAACCTAATAATCTGTCCTAATTTTGTGCTTGCAGGGGCCGAGGAGACACAGTACAAGCAGACACGCATATATGTGCGTACACACATCTAACGTTTATGTTTGGTACCAGAGTCCAACATCTTTCCTAGGACAAATCTTTAATCTCCTAAAGAAAGACAAGAACAGGGTCTACTTCCAGCTGACCAAGACACCATTTATAACAGTTTTCTTCTTGTGATCAAAGAAAACTCTCAGAAAAATAATCTAATACCTTTAAAAAGGGGTCAAAAACATTTACTGAAATATTCACAATTGTGTAAGGAAAATCATTCCATTTTTTACATTAAACTGTT